CGCGGGGAGGGGACTTGGGGGGGGCGGGCCGGCCGGCGTGGGGAGTTCCTCGCTCGCGGACCACACGCTCCGCGGGCCAATCCCGAGCCAGCCTCTAGCGGTGTCGCACGCGGGACACGTCCCAGCGTTTGTTGGCAGGGGCCGGCGAAGGGGGAGGGGGAGAGAGCGAGAGAGCGAGCGAGCTCAGGCAAGGGAGTTGAGTGACAGGCGGTGCGGAGCACGCTGGGAATTGTAGTTCCTAGCTCCCGTGGCCATAGCCATTTTGTAGTCAAGGGACTACAACTTCCAGAAGATCAAGGGGACTATTCTAAGGTGCCCCGGGAATAGGCGGCTCTCCCCCGGGCCGGGCGTCCTGGGGCAGTGCTACCCAGCTGCCCGGCTGCAGGTAGACGCGAGGGCAGTGGCGAGGGTTTGCATGTGGCTGCCGTGGGGTGAGCGGACGGCGGGGGGAGGAGGGGGAAGGGGCTGAGGTGGAGCGACCGAGCGTGCCATGCATTGAGCTTAGGGAGCCTCTCTCAATTCCGTGCCCGGGGTCGGAGTGGGAGAGGCGCCTGACAGGCGGCCCGCGAAGCATTGGCTGAGGCCTCTCCCGGGTCTGGTCGGCGGGGCTGCGGGAGTCTTCTGCCCTGGGCCGGGGCTGGTGGGCAAAGGGTGAGCGAGCGTGCCATGGCTCAGCTGTGGGAGTTTTCGGCTGGCGAGCGGTGCGGAATTGGCCGAGGAGCCCTAACTTGTATAAAAGCAGAGTCCATTTAAAGTTGGGCTGGATAGCCTGTCTCTCATTGGTTAGGGGGCTTGGAAAAAAGAGACTCGGCGAGCCCTCCGCTGTGGTGCTGCCGCCGCCGCCGCTGGAGTTGACTCTTCTGCTCGCACTGCTGCTGCAGCACAAACGTGACTTCCAACATTTTAAATCTTATCTTTCCTTTTTCTTTTTCCAAGATGTAACTACAGATCAGACACTAAGGACCTTCACGTTTCGCTGATGTAGTTTTTGGAAGAAAAAAGGGGGGGAGTGAAGGGCGTCGGTTTTTTTTTTCTTCTTTTTTTTTTTGTGTGTCTGTGTTGTGTGTTTCGGGGGAAATTTTCCATTATGAGTGTTTTACAAAAGTGAATTTTTCTTGTTTGCTTCGTTCGTCTTTGGCTCTTTATTTTTTTTCTTTTATCCTTCTCAATTTCGGATTTATTTCAAGGCGAATCTGGCTTTGGGGGAAGAGGAAGAAAAGTCGGATTACAAGATCAACCACCACCAACAATAAAAACCACCAGGATATTTTTTTTTTTGCAAATTTCTGACGGCTTTAAATTCATGAAGCAATTGTCCCCTTTTGCAATCACCATTTGGATCTCAGAATGAGCAAGGAAAGACCCAAGAGGAATATCATCCAGAAGAAATACGTAAGTGCTCCTAACAACACATCCTTTGGCTTGCAGTTTGAAGCAATGGTTGCGAATGTCAAGTTTATAGATAATTCTGCAGCTCAAGGGTTTTAAACATAGCGTCCGATAAGGCTGTTCCTTTCTTTTCCGAAAGGGCTTTTCAGCAAAGTCGTGTCTGCCTAGTTTGGTTGAGAAAACAGACTGGTGTAGATACCTCAAGTGAATAAATTGACCTCGAATGACACAACATTAATGTAGTTTTAGATGAAAGGCAAGTGATTTCGGTGGAGCTTGAGGTGATGTTTGTGGGGGCCTGCGGTAATATAACTAAACTGCAGTCTCGGGCGAATTTGGCCCCATACTGCACTTTGCATACAAATGAGCCTGTTATTGGTGTTATTTGGAAAATCGTTAAAGGTATGTATGTTGGAAGCCCTTTAAGTTGCAATCCAGGGTCCGACTATGGCGATCTTCTTGCACTGGCACATCCATTTAATATGTGTGGTCGTTTTGGCTTACCTAGATTGCAACATAATCCAGTTGAGAATCATGTTACAGGGACTGTGCATTTATTGGTATTGACTTTAATAATGAGGCTGATTTTGGTTTTTGTTTAAGAAGAATTCATGGTTTCTAGTTTTAGGGGGAAATATATATATAGCTAACGTTTTTTAAAGTGTGTGTGTGTGTGAGTGAATGCATATGTTACTGCAAATAATTTATCCTTGTTAACTGGGGTCCTGAAATTAGGTTGTAATAGTTAAATTTGTTTTGTGATAGTATAGCAACGTTTTGCTTGACATAGGGAGTGTTTTTGTTTTGTGTAGTGGGTTTTTTGTTGTTGTTGTAAGTTTGGGGGGGAGGGAGCAAAGAGGGGAACCAGGGGATTAACCAAATATGCACTCGAGTGATCCGGTGGTTAGCTGCATATGCTTAGAGCAAAGAACTCATTTTTACCCCAGAAAAAAGGCCCTTGAAGATGCATAAAGAACAATGCGATCGTATAAGAAAGTTTTATATAACTAGAATCGATAATTTGGTGTTATATTTTCCCTTTCTGATGTGTGGAGTATATAATGGGAGATGACCTTCGGGGTAGTGGCTCTTTAAAAATTATGTTTAATGGAAAACCTGAATTCCTCTTCCGGAGAGCTGATTCTAATCTAGACACGTAAACTTAACTATGAAAGAAACGCGAGATTAAATAATGAAGCTCAATTTACGAAGCTGCTCCATAAGGAATTTAAGAATTAAAATACATCCGCATTGCAGAGGGCTGGGTAGAGCGCTAAGGACTAGTTTAAACTCGGTGTGTAGAAACTGCATGGGCTGAGCCTTGCCTTGGAGAGTGAACGCCTTCCCAGAACATGTCTGTTTCTGATGTACCACAAAGACGATGGGCTAGAACTTGGACAAGAACCCTCCACCCTATCCCGGACCTCGATAAGTTAGAGAGCACTGTGGGGTAGGCTTTTTTTGTTGTTGCTGGTGGCCAGCGGATCCTGTCGAGTCCCGGCGTCCGGCCGCAAGCCGATGTGGCCGGCCGTGGCCGCGCGAGGCAGAGCACGAGTCACAGCTGCGGGAGCCGAGTCGGTGCTCAAGCCGAGCTCCGGACCCAGCGGGCAGGGAGGGTGAGCGGGGCCCGCGGCGGGCTGGGCC